CTTTTGTGCAATATGTTGGTGGAAGTCACTCAAACTTGAGTAGCCTTTAGTAGGAGACAGATGAATGGGAGAGTGTTAAGAATCTGAATTTTTCATTCAGATCAGTGGAAACTACTTACTGATTCGAATGGGCCACAAACTGGGTGCATTATGAAATTCTCTGATCCCTGTTGAGAATTGCCTGGTTATTTTTGGAGGATTACCCAAGGTGGGGATGCTTTGGAGCAGCAGAACTTTAAGCTTGTTATGAGTATTTATCAGGTATTAATTAATGTCAATTATTCACGTGTTTTAATAGAAAGCATTTGTTTTATGTAACCTGAAGGGAAATCTCATTATTATGCGTGGTTGACTTTCTGCTTTTTCTATGGCTGTTTCATGTAGTTTTTTTGAAATATGTACGAATGGTTTAATTTCATGTAAAAACTGTCTATGTATAAACCTAGGCAACTGTCAACAGAAGTATTGTCTCTTCAGTCTGCTAGAAAAATAATTCACATGTGTGTACGGGTCTGTGATTGCCAGAGCCCGATCATGGTGACAGGTGTTGGATGTTCATCTGCTAGTTTCTCATCAGAAACAATGTGGTAGGCTGATGATGCAATTTGGTCAGTGGAGGCCCCGTCTTGATTTCTGTTTATAAAATATATGGGTATGTTTACTGAAATAATTTAAAAAATAGTAGATGTGTTTTCAGTTTTTAAAAATTTGTTATAGAGTTATTTTAAGATTAAAATACTTGTTTTCTCATTGCCAACAAATATGTATTATCTGTGATCTGTAATTAGGCTCACAGCTTAATGTAATGACGAGTGGTGCTCGCTGAGCTGCATCATTGGCCTTATTGTGGTAAAATGACCAATTTTGTTTTACCAGCTGTGACTTTGGAGGCAGGCTGAATGACAGGGAACACATAAAGCTCGACAGATTAAAATATTTCCAGCACATAACTGTGTGTCATTCAGAATTCAGCAGCAGTTCTTGCTTGATAAGCTTGCTAATGTCTTCATGTGCTAAGGAACATTGTGCTTCTGTATGGGGTGTCTTGCACAGGCTCAATCCTGCAGTCCTCACTGAAGCAAAACTCCCAGTGAAAAACAGCATCAATATGGCCATGGAAAGCACTGAATAGAAGGGTAGAAAAACTCCTCACAAGAGCAATGCATCTGCCTAAGGAAATAGAGCATGTAGTTCTGTGACTAATTATGAATTATAGAAAGAACTAGAGGAAAAAAGGCACAAAGTTGGGAAATAAATGGTTGATACCTCATCTTGCATCAAGAGGACGTTTTCAAAAGACAAGCCCAATTATACACGCTGTTGCAATAGTTATTCATATCTGCTTCTCATAATTTCCATCACTTATAGAAGAAAATAAGACAATATTTTCCTTCAGCTTCTTACGTATGTGGCAAGGACGATTGAAGGGTTGCATGCAGAGCATTCTAATTTTATACGAAAAGAGTAAAGTAAGTTATGTCAGCAAGCTAACAAGAGGTAGCTTTTTGGTTTTTCTATGAATGTGTTCTGAGGACTGTGGAAACAGCCAGATGTTGGTGAAATGCAGTGATGTTGGCTGATGCAAGTATACACAAGCCATAGAACTCCATGTGTTGGATTTAATATAGTCTGGAATCACAAATGGCCCTAGTTTGGTCTTTGAGCTGACGTGGTGAGGCAAGCGTTGCTTCTCTGTGGTTTAGCATCTGATAACGTATGTGAGTTGTTTTCATTTTTCTCTTTAATGTTATATGAATTGCAGGAAATGAATTGCAGATACGTTAATGGACTATTAATTTCAAACTGCGAAATTCTGCTCGCAAAAAGGCTTAAAGTGAGCTACCCTTGCGTATCTGGCTTTTTGTGTTATCCTAGAACTTGAGTTTGAGTCCTTACTGCAGAAATCCTCCTCTGGAGGTGCCATGGAAGCAGTGGTGTTTCCTGCTGTCAACCATGAAACAGTTTGTAGTGTTTTAGGTAAAGCCAAGGTAGGAAGCTGACCCTCTTATGCCCCTTTCTGGAAATCCTTTATGGCTTATCATGCCAGAAAAGGGTGAGCCGATTTTCTACTTTGTATTTAAGTAATGTCTTTCATCAAGGGGATCCAATGTACTTTACAGATGCTGATGAATTAAGGTTCCATTCATGTTTATCAGCTCAATTTTGTAGATTGGTACCTCAAACATCAATTTAGTGACTGAAGTACAGAGGACTAGTAGTTCTATGTTTTTACTACAAAGGCGCTAAGAATAACAGTATCTTCTGTGAACAAATACAAAAACGTCAAGCTCAAGAAAACATCTATAGAGTTACAGATTCCTTGGTTGTGTTGATTTGGTATGTGGCATGCTCAGCCACCTCTGAGAGAGTGGCTATCTGTGACAGCTTAGTAGCTGAGTAATTTGTTGGACAAAACATGTTCTGTGTGGTTAAAAACATGACTTTCTCCATTAATCATTAACCCGCAAATGACTACATGTATTTCCTGAATGACATCTGCTCTGCTAGTCTGTTTTTCTACCTGTTTCCATCATAACATCTGCAAGTAATGTAAGCATCTCTGTGTCTTTTTTCAGAAAGTTCCTTGCGAGGTTATTAATAGACCCTCCAAGCCATATGCTTTTTGTAAGCACCGTTGTTACCACCATGGAAACACGTTAAAGAACAGTGTGAACAGAAAGGACAAAACTATGTATTTCATGAATAGTAACTGAGCTTTTGAAAAAGCAAATTACTTTGCAGTGAAATTCAAAATTTCACAGCAAATATTCAGTACACAGTGCTGCTATTATTCTAAAAAGAAATTGTACTTCACAGTACAATAAAAGCTGGTCTTATCAGAATCCAAATTATCATATGGAGTACCTTTCCTGAGAAATAAAGACTATAAACATATACTAACCCCAGCTGGCTGTCCCTTAAAGCTGTTTGCAGAGTTCATGCATGTGGACTGATAACCGTTGTCATTATAGAGAAAGAGTTTTTTAAAGTTTACCTTTATTTGATACAGGTTTATTTTCTGGGACTATTTCTAGAAATACTTTTCTATGGTTTTTTATGCTTGTAAAAAATCAGATTCTGTGAACATATGAGGCTGGTACCTGAAATGTTATTGTCACTGAAAATTTGTTAAGGGATGCACAACTCAAACATTCTGGATTTCTTCACTTCATGAAAAAAATTGTGTTCCCTGAGACTTCTGTACCAAAAGAGACAAGTAATAACATATTCATGTCAGAAAACATGACAGCCTGCAGTGAAATTAGATGACAGCATTTGTTTTGAATGATGAACATTTTGTTCCATGGTATTACATGGTCCGTATATTACAAAGCCACATTGTAAATTTTGTTTAAAACCATTTTGTTTCAATTTTTTGAAGGTAATTGTTACATGGAACTACTCTTTGAATGAATATGCATGAAAAAATCAAGACTACTAAGCAGATCAGCACTAATTTACATTATTTGCCTTTTTGTTTTGTGAGATGTTTCCAAGCAGTGTCATGCTGTGGAATGTGGCCCTGGTATAAACAAGGTGATTCATGATACAATCCAGAATATTAGTGAGTGTTTCTGTTGTAGAATAAGTCTTATTGTGATATTATTTTTTTTTGCCAGTTCAGTAATATGTGACCCTTTCCATTGAGCCCTCAACTGCAGCAAAAGACAAATCATTAAGGTTTTGTAAAACACAAGTTTAATCTTAAAAAGTTAAATAGACTTCAGTACTTACCAAGTCCTGAGTTGCAGAAGAAACTGCTGGAAGATAATATAGTATAATATAATATGTGATTCGTTAACACTTCCTGCTATAGATTGGTCCACTTAAATTTGAGCTGCTTAAAAATTGGTCTGCTTAATATGAGCTATAGGCCTTGCTCTGTTTGTTTATGTAATTTAACTGTAACAGTAACAATCAGAAAGGAAATTATATAAAACTAACATGGAACCCATCAGGGTTTAAAAGATTATTCTTATGGAAGGCCATCTTACTAAGTAATGTAAAAATACCGTCTGCTAAATGTAATTTTAAAAATAATGTGTATTTTTAATAGTTTTAGAGTTTACAGTGTCATCCAAACTGAATACAGATTGAAATCCAGACAGAAAATCCTACAGATTGTTGACAGTTTGGTAGTCTTTATGATGAAGATATCCATACTTAAAAAGTCTTGGTCAGAGTCAGCGATCTGGGGTAAAGAGCTGAAGCGGTGTGATGGCTAGGTTAATATTCCAGTTCCAGTTGATCCTTCCTGAGTCAGGGGAAATGTTGGGAAGCGCACTGTGAGCTATACTGACTAAGGTATTGACTTCAAAGGTATTTACATAAAAGGAAAAGGACATGAAAAGAGGAGAACTGTCAGTGAACGAGCAGCAGCATGAAAAACCAAACAGGCACGTGAAGGGAACATATAGACAATTTGAGCATTACTTTCTTGATAATTTTCTTGCTGGAGGAACCAGTATCATCTTTGTTGACTATCTATGAGATAATTCCAGTAAACATTTACATTTTAAACCCCCAAACTTTGTATCTTTTTTTTCAGAAATCCTCCTCCTACTTTGCTACATCCTGAAAAATGGTGCAGAGGATTCAACCATTTCATTTCACAGTGAGTTTTACTTTCTTTTAAAAACAGCTTATTCAGCAAGGCCTACGTGTATCAATCTGAAAACAGAATTTGTTTTATGGAGTTGTTGCTTTTGCAGGTTTTTAACTTCAGTTTTCTTTTCATACACTCTTGACCATGCTTCACTTTTTGAAAGCTGTACATCACAGTTTGATCTTCTCATATAATTTGTTTCATAGCTTCTCTGAACTCCTTAGTTGATTTGCTTCTCGACTTTGATGGACCTGGGACAGGTTTATAAATATACCTGATTTTCTTGATGGTTTTGCAGTCAAGGAGAAAAAAGGGTTTGTGACAATAACTGCTGGTCAATTTCATATGAGAACTTGAAAGACAAGGAAGAAAATAGTTGCCTTTTTCCACAGTACTAATATTGAGTTGGTTGTATACCCAATATATGTAATTGAGCACCTGTTGTACCAAGAGTCTAGGTACCAACCTTCTGGATGCGGCTGTCATTGAACTATAATATGCTTTGGCTTTACTTTTTTATTTTTACAGTGAAACTAAGAAATCACAATTTAGGAGTTGCTATCATTATGTTCAAAAATCTTACAGCAACTTTTATGAGAGATTTTTAGGGTTCTTCAGGATTTCATTGTGACCTGTTACAGCCCAAGCTGTGTAACATGGGGAATAATGTTATCAAACCCTTTGGAAGTTTACAGTGTTCAACTAGCCAAATATTTTGAACGCCACTCCTCAGTAGTGACTTTTCAAGATAGTTTTGAAAATATGCACATCTGCATTTTTGAATCTGTTGCGTTCCTTAATGTATCTAGTTACTTGTGAAGGAGTACAATAACCCTACCTGACACCTTTTTCAGCCAGTTGTGTAGTAGTGTCTTCCCATTTCAGGAGAAGTTAAAAATAGGAAGAGTAATGCAAAATTTATTAATAATCCAGTCAAAATATTCTTATTTACTGTGCTGATCTTTAATCAGGCAGGAAGGTGTGATATGGTTGGCCTACAGAGGAAGACCATTACTCTCATGACTGCAGTGTAACTCAGAATCTTTTCCAGTGTAGGCAGTAGAAGTACCTTCCTCTAGAGCAGATTGATCCAAGTTCTGTTTCTTCATAATGCATGTCCTTGTTTACACAGCAGTGTGCATTGTAATCTATGCCCAAATCGGTGTTTAATTGCAAAAGTCACTGGGTGGTAGATGAATTCCATTGTATTATAGAGAAACATTGTTTTTACAGTATTTATGGACAGTGGCCTATATTCTGGGGGACCCTAGCACTGGTGGATTATATTCCACTTGTGCTTTAGAGAGTCAGTGCACCTGGTAAAGAAGATGACATTGCTTTCTCAGAAACATTGTGCGTTAACCTTCAGCATTGTTATACAGGTTTTTCTTTCTTGGTACTTCCTTTTTAGAAGTCACCGCTGAGCTTGAGAACAATGCAAAAAACTAAGTATAACATTTCTTAACGTTTGTTCAGTCCTTTAGTTCAGCATGCACTGTTCATAAAAGAAATCAGTCATAAGTACTCAATGGCTATACTTGTTTTTAATCTCGTCCTTTGGGGTTTTTGATATCTTTAAATTGTATATTTTTAATCACATTGATTTTTAATTACTTTGGTTAATTACTTCCTCTCACCAGCAATATCTGCAGGTTCTCAAATCTTGCTTTTAATTTTTACAGTAATACACACAATGAAGAAAGAAAGCGTGCTTATATGCTGTCTCTTAACAATTGCCATAAATATGCTGGTTTTATAAGTACCTTTAAGATAACACTGAAATGGAATTCTCTGTGACTTTGCTTCATTCTTGGGCATGTGTTATTAAGTTGTTACAATGCAGAGGTTACAAGATATTTTTATGGAGGCTTGGATTTACATTAGCGTATTTTCTAGAAAAAAACCAAATAATGAAACATTGGATCACATAACGGCAAACCTTTTAGCCATTACTGATAAATGGTTCATTTATATGCGTTAGTTATGCATTTGTTGATGCTCACCTTGTGACAGCTTAGTTATGATAAATTAAAAGCAGTGATTGTATAAATTCCATACTGCCTTCTATCCATATGTTAGGACCTTGCCTGATGTTTCTGTCACCCTTGTGATGAGTGGTTAGCTTTCGAATAATTTCATTATCTACCTCCTTCCTGATGGCTAACATCATTTGCATAACAAGCTTATCTGGTTCAAGTTGTGGACCAGACCAGCATACTGACAAAAACCAAGCATGCAGCTTTGGCTAAGCATACTTTTGACTTCAGTTCTGTTTACACAATAATTTTTTTTATGCCAAGATTGCCAAACCTGATAATTGTAGCTTTTTTCACACCTCCCATTCTCATCCTTTGAAATGCCACTGTCTCAAGAGGCTTTTTTGTTATAAGAATTCTCTCGCGTATTATAGTGATTTACAACATGCCTGAGCTGGAAGTTTCAATGTACTTTTGTAGGTGAGTCTTTGAACTGTTGAAATGGTAATCACATATTTTTCAGAAATGAAGTCTGTATTTTTAACTATGGTCCTGCTGCCTCAAGAGGTACGATTTTGCAGAAGCATTTTAAAGTCAGATGCATTATTTACAAAATCTGAATGGAGAGAGGGTCAAGATAATTCTTAGCTTGGGGAATTTATGTTTCTATTCCCATCATTGTTGACCTTGACTTCAGATGAAGACTATTGTGTTGTCCTCATAAGGATTTTTACAATAAATTAGCTAATCTGAGTTAGGTATTTTGTTTTAAAAAACACAGACAAGACACAATTTCAGCCAAGCCTGGCAGCAGCCCTGATTTTGTATTTGATAGCTACGGAGATCCATGAAGCACATATATACTTTTAAAAGTCTGGTAAAATTCTGTATATGCCTCTCTATCTGTACTACTGCAATTGTCCATGAATAACTTGGCTGCTCCGCTCAGTGTGAAAAAGAGTTAATTGTTTGTTTATATTTTTAGCTGCATATTAATAAGGCTTACGATTCCTATAAGGCTACGTAAACACATCAGTTGTTGCAGTATTGGCTCCTAAAAACAATATACTTTTACCTATGTTTATTTCTATGTTGAGATGAAATATCAGTTTTGAAGAGTTCACCATATTCATTGCCCATGAATGTGCGTGAAGCTTTTTTTTTTTGATAGCTACAGCATAGATGACATTGCTCTCTTAAGGTACCAATTTGTTTCCACCACCATTTTAGACATACAGTGCTGCAGAGCTAATTCATAAAATAATACAGGCTATATGTTAAAATGAATAAAGAAAGCCCATTCACTACAGTTATCTCTCATGCTGCAAATAATTTTCTTGGCAGTTTAAACCTTGACTGATCTCTAGGGGTAAATAGAAGTGTTAATATGTTTTTGGAGCAGAAGGAGACAATAACCTTTATTTACATTACATCACAAAATGGTAATTTTAATTAAAATGAGCAATGGTATCTCCAGGGACAGACATTCTCCTTTTAAATTTATTTAACCAATGATTAGCTATTATGGTTCTTTGAATTAATTAGTCGTTCTTGAGCTGGAGGGAATTAAAGAATTAAGAAATTCAGGAAGTACTAAAGTCAAAATGTGAAGTTACAGAGTTTACGGTCACATTTATCATCAGAATGTAACTTTTATTTTAGCAATGACATTGCAAATACAATACAAATGTAATTTTTAGTCTTGATAAACTTATTTTTTTTTTACTCAATTTAAACACAGCCTCACAAGCTGAGTTCCATATTGATGAGTCTACATTCAGTTATACAATTAATATATCATCTAGATTATATAGGTTTTATGTGCTCCATTTAGATTTAACTTCTCTGAATGCATATCAAATTTTTTCACAATCTAAGCAATTGTTTAGTGACATTCTGTTCATATTACATAAAAAACATTTTACTGTTTCTGTCACTGAGAACATGATATGCATTTGACATAACTCATTAATTTCACAGTGTCTAAGAAGTCAAAGAGGTTTGCAAATCTTAGAAAGATACAAGTTGTGATGTGTAAGGTTACCACTAAATCTGTAAGTTTTTGCCTTTTATTCATTGATGTAGACTCTGAGAATCTGTTCACAGATGAACTTGAAATACTGAATTGTAGTACCTGACAAAAGATCTCCACCACTTTTGAGTATTTCATGAGACATTTTTGTATAGCTGAATGGGCAAGTATATTGGATACAATTATCTTCAGCTTTCTAATGAGCAGTTGCAGTAAAAAACTGCAATTTTGGGTAGAGGTGAGAAACTCCTATGTAGGTTTGAAGTCCTGACCGTGTAAAGAATCATGCTGGATTTTACAAATGTCATAGTATCAAGGTCTTTCACTCAGTAAAATATACTGTTGAGTTCCTTACCACTAGTGATAAGCATTCATTCTTCCCTTGGTTCCCATGGTTTGTGGGTTTATTGGCTTGCTATTCTCTATTACAAACACTAACTGTAGTAGTAGTGAGAAAGATTTGTATCCACGGTGGAGTGACAAGTCTATTTGGGAAGCATTCACAATTCTGGGAATAGTATGCTGAAGATAGAAGATAATATAGAAGATTATAGTATCAGAGAGAGCATGTAAAGTAACTGTATGATGAGACAAAGTTTCTTTACTCCCTTCTTCAAACTCCTATTTTCATTAAGTGCCGGTATTTCGTTTTCTCAAGTAGTCTCTGCCTATTGCTCTTTCACCGGGATGCTTTAAAAGGTTAATTCGAAGCTTAGATGCTTCTGAAGCTCTAACATTATTACCATTTATTGGAAGGAAAGCCTTTTGTAATAGCTAATGTTTGCCATCTCTCTGCTTCACTTGAAAGGAAATTTAAAGGCAGGATGTTACCACCTGTTACTACATGGTTTTCACTTACAATATTTAGTAAAAATTAAGACTGAGCATGGCAGAAGACTGAGGACAGTAAGACAGAAATGATAGACAGAAACACTAAGATGGAGAGTAGGAAGGAAGGAAGATGGCAGGAGTGAAGAGAAGTAAAATATGTCTGTGCTGGT